ATCACACCAACCGGCAGCGCACTGCGGTGCAGTCATAGGCAACATGCAGCATGCATCACGCACCGCCCGACAGTGCGCAGCACGCACCGCCTGGCAGCACGTAGCACGCACCTCACGGTAGCAACACCGCAAGACGCTCGCACCGCCCGGCAGCAGCAGTAGGGCAGGGCCCATATGACAGCTCATCAGGGTGGGTCCACACTCTGCTCACCCACTCGCCGCCAGCATCACCATCCCTTATCCCTTATCCCTTATCCCTTATCCCTTATCCCTTATCCCTATCTTATTTTATCTTCTTAAGTAAGAGTTGTGTTACCATTAGGAGTAGGTAATTAGGAGTTTTAGTTTAAGTTGGATTACCCTAGCCTAGCCGAATCCAACAAGGAATTCCCCCTGTAATCTTCTATTTAAGGAGCCACGAATTGAAATAAAGCATTCAATTTTCCAGTCAAGAAAAGAGTGAGGAGAGTTCGGGTGGTCTCTTGGACAAATCACCCATTAGGAGAGTTCGGGTGGTCTCTTGGACAAATCACCCATTCGGTTTTCCACAATAGGTTCTGCACGCAAGGGCAAGGTCAAGGGAAAGCAAGGCTTTCTCCCCGTGGACCGACCTGTGCGTGCTGCGTGCTGCGTGCTGCCTATGACTACGCCGCAGTGCGCTGCCGGTTGGTGTGACCATAACATGGCGGTGGGTTTCTTTTTCCTTGGTATTGTCTCGCTAATACGACCTTTGTCTGGTTCCTCCGTTATTCCTAGGCCTCCTATCAACTGCGTACGCCTCGTTTCTGTTAAAAGGGGAGGTGTCTTTGACAGTTTGCACCATTCTCTCTACGCATCTCCAAAGTTGGCTGAAGCTTTTGACTTTGATGTTTTCGATGCTGATTCTATAGGTAGAGCGCATACCTTGGACGCACTACTCGACAAAACTTCTTTTGGTGGCGTGCTCATCGAAAATGGGTGTGTAAGTTTCTGGAGTCTCTTGACGTATGCCAGAAGGTCTTCTCCCGGTCCTTGAGCTATGTTTCGTAGATCGATCATTGTCAACTTCCTTTCTAAGGTGAACCATTTAGACAAGAACCTCTTGGCTAGCTCACCCCATGAATCAATGCTCCCAGTGGTGAGACTTATGTACCATGTATACGTTGGGCCGATCAGTGACTTCGAAAACTCTTGCACTTTGAGGTCCCCACTGAGGGCGAAGGAGCCAATGATGTCCTCAAACTTGATAATGTGCTCCTATGGGCTACCTCTTTGTCCGTCATATTGCGGCCATTGCTGAGGAGGGGTGTACCCAATAGAGTAAGATTTGTATAGGATAGCTGTGGAGTGGTCTCTTTGAAAGACGAAGAGAGGCCTTGAGAGTGGGGAAAGATAAGATAAAGATCGTTTGGTTAAGGCTATGGAAAAATGGAAGAGCTGTGGATATTCGGGAGTACTAGTAGCAAATGCTTAGGATCGGATGAATTCTGATTCAAGGAGGATCACTATTTATAGAGGAGATCCTGAGATCCTAAAAGGTAAGAGATGAGGATATTCGCTCCGTATCGGGGAAGGGAATATTTGATTCGCTGCTAATTATTGGATGTGCTACTAGGGTATCGCCATGTGTCTCATGAGGATCTTCTCAAGGATTGTCTTTCCTTATCCTTGAGATCCCTCATTACTCACAATTGTTACTACCTTTTTGCACTATAACTAATCCTATGTGGCATCGATGACGTCACCATTCGGCAGTTGGTGCTTCATCGATTCCATGTGGTAGTTCACAAGGTCCTTTGTTGTCATGGGTCCACGTGCCTCTAGGCATACGGGGGCCTCACCATGAGTTCGGCCTGCGTCCCTTCTAAATCGTCATCATGAGCAGGCTTGCAAGCTGTTAGTTCATCTCACGCCTTAGCGGGGCGTAGCTTCATTGCACACTTAGGTGGGCTTGTGACCATCGGATGGGTACGGTTGTGGTTTCTTTAGGTTCGGGCGCTGACTAGATTTGGTGAACCGCAAGTTTATCATGGTTTTGCAGTATGTACTATTAGTTCATCATAAGGTTGATGGTGTGCAATGAGTTTATCACCACGTCGGGGTTGATTGTAAGTTGCTCGTGTGTGCTTTTGTGGTGTTAATCATGATGTTTGGATGTACGCTGAGGGTCTGAGTGAGCGATACGTACCTATAGAGGGAAAACAAGGGTATTTTTGAATCGATTGATGAGGTCAAGCTGGCCTAAATAAGCTCGGATTAGGCAGATCTAGAGGGATAATGATAAGATTAATTTATTAACTTTGAAATAGAATCTTGGTGTGATAGAAGAGAAAATGAGGGAATTTTTTGTTGAAATTTGGCAGGGTGGTGTTTTTGAGCATTATGGGTTGATTGGTATGGTTAGGTTATTCCAATTATGCTGAGATCAGACAGATACATAAAGGACTTGATCTATTCAATGTGAAGCTTTGAAATGGAATCTTGGTGTAATAAAGAGGCAAACAAAGGTATTTTGGGCTGAATTTTTGTGGGTAGAGGTTTTTAGGGTGTTTATGATATTATGGAAACATCTGATTGATTTTGGATGGCCAAAATCACAAAAATTTTGGTTAACGAGAGCATCCAAAATGGAATATTTGTTCGATGATGGGGCAAATGAGGGAATTTTAGGTTAAAAATTTATGGGTAGATGTTTTTGGTGTGTCAAGTGTTTAATTGTATGGTCTAATTGATTCAAAGGTGTTAGGACCAATGAGATTAGGGGCTTCAAGCTAACGAAAGGGTTCTAAAGGGAACCTTGGTTTGATAAAAGAATAAATGGAGAAATCTTGGGTTGAAATTTTAGGGGTAGATATTTTAGGAGGTCTTAGGTCTAACAACGTTGTTGAAGGAGTTTTAGGTACTTTGGAAGGATCAAAACGGTTTGATTAGGTGTTCGAGGTAGTTTTGGTGGTGAATTGGGCAAAAATCACAATGGGATTTGTAGAGGTATTTGTCTCTTAGATCATTTGGTGGGGTTTGATTGGTCCATAAATGGTATGACTAAGGGCATTTAAGAAATGAATATCTTGGCCAATGAGATAGCTCGAATTAAGATCTTAGTGTGATGAACTATTAAATGGAGGATATTTGTGATAAATTTTTGTTGTTAGGTGTTTATGAGTATTTAGAGCTCTTTAAAAGCCCATTAACTCTAATTTGCAATTCAGTTAAAAATCCCATGCATCGCACGGGGTCCGACTAGTATATACTAAAACATAGTAGTCTAGAAATTTTATCCTTTTTTAATTTCTTTGTTCCATGTCATTTTTTAAACAACCAATGGGATCATTTCCTTCCCTATAAAAAAATATCTATTATCCCCCCTGCTCTCTCACACATGTTCTTAACCTAAATAATCTCCTCCTAAAATTTCTACTAAACCACCTCCCCCACTTTCTCCTAAATTATCTCTAATTCATATTTATCCTCTTCCCCACTTTTTATCTATATCTATTTAAAGAAAGTTTGAATTAAAAAATTTTAGAATTATTTAAATATTCTAATGAAATTATACAATAAATTTAAAATATTTATTAAGAACACAAAAATAATTATAATAGATTTAATATATAATACTCATATTATTAATAATTTCATATTCTTACAAAATTCATCCTGAAATTATGTAATGATTTTTCAAATTATTCAATTTAAATGATATTTAAATAATAAAACATTAATAAGGTAAAATATTATTTAAATACTTCAATAAATAAATATCTTAAATAAAACTATTAAATATTAAATTAGCTAAATAATTATATAACAAAATATTTAATATTATGTAATAACTTTAAAATAAATAAAATTCAAATAAAAAATATTTAAAAAATTTTACATATTATNAAATAATTATATAACAAAATATTTAATATTATGTAATAACTTTAAAATAAATAAAATTCAAATAAAAAATATTTAAAAAATTTTACATATTATTTAAATATTTAAATAAATAAATATTTTAAATAATGAATTATTTAACATAACTAGATTTTAAATAGTTAAAGGATTTAAAAAGTTTCTTAAAAGTAGAAAAATAATTATAACATAATACTCAAAATAATAATAATACTAATTCAATATTTTACAAAATTATTAACAAATTTGAATAATAATAGTATAAATCATAATTTTACGGATTATTAAATTCAATAAATAATTAATATTTTAAATTTAAACTATTAGTTTAGCTAAAATTAGGGGTATTCATGGGCTAGTTTGGTTCGGTGTAGGTTTTTTGGCCAACCAAATTGACTTGGTCAAGTTGGGGAGTTGGTCACTCGAAACCAACTTACCATTAGTGAAAACTGGCCAACTTGGGTTGTATTGATTTGGGTCAATTTTCGGTTTGGTTAGTCAATTCAAAAGATTTAAACTTACAAAATTAAATTTAAATTAAAAAATATAGTGACATTATTAAAAAATTAAAGATGAAATTTATATACTAAAATTATATCATACATTATATTTAAAATATAAAATATTAATATATATTTATGGACGAGTTGTTCGATTTTGGTTGATTTTCAAATGGTTAAAGCAAAACTGATCCAATTTGGTCAGGTTGGGAAATTGTTAAACCAAAGCTGACTGAACTAGAAAACTGACCTATTAGTTTGTAAAAAAACTAAAAAAGGTAGTATATAAAAATATAAATAATTATTATTTATTTAAAAAGTTAAAAATATAAGATAATTATTTACTCTTATGTGTTTCTATTGTTTAGTTTTCGCTTAACAAATCCCGTGCATTGCGGGTCCTTACTAGTAATTATGTATATATATATATATTTATTATTTGCGATTATTTAAAATTTTTGTTACTTCAAACAGAATAAGATGGATGCGGATTAAATCTGAATCCGATCAACCGATATACGGATCCATATATCAGATCGGATGCGGATGTACACGGACCCGACCCGATTACAGCCGTAAAAGTGTAAAACCCCCTGTTTCAAATCTACTTCTCTCAGCCGTAAAACCCCCTGTTTCAAATCGACAACGCCCCTCTGTCAGCCGTAAAACCCACTGTTTCGAATCAACAACCCCCCTCTCTGTCCGATCTATCGCAGCTCTCTGTAAGCACCTTTCGTCTGCTGTCTGGTCCTCCCTTCGGGACCCTAGACCTGCTTTTGAAAGGACAGTGGAAGAGTTTGCTGCTAGATCTGTTATTTTGTGCTTTTCTTGCGAGATTTTTATCGCAGATCTTCTCTTCGAAATTTACGTTCAGTCGCTTCTGCCAAAATGAACGACCTTCTATCAGTGAGTCTTTTGCTTTTGCAATTCCACATTCTATGTTTGTTTTGGTGGATTTTGGATATTAGCAGAGTTTTTTTCCAGTATTTCTTTATTTCATGAGTAACTTCTGGAATTAAATAAAGCCTCTATTAATTTATGGTTGATGAATCTGAATTCTCTACTCGGTATATTGGTTGTAAGTGCTGGATGATTTGGGACTGTTACTGAATTATCTTTTGGATGATTTGGAACGAACTTTTAAGGGTTAGGATTTGGGGAATTGTGAAACACAAGAAAAAGAGTAAAAATTGGAAGAATTTGCAGTAAGATTCTTGAAGAGATGCTTGCAATACCTCCCTCAATTAATGCCTCTAGTGGAATACAGTATGATGATTTCCTAATATTCTTTTCATCCCTTCCCTTATGAGGTTTTCGGATATTCAAGCTCTTATGAAGTAGAGTTTTTGCTTCGGTTCTTCGGTCATCTGCATAATTTTGTTCCCACGATAAATGTGGCGAGATGGTTTGTGGATGGTAATTATAATAATTGTAAAGAAAGAGAAAAATAACTCGAGTTTTGATTTTTTTATGCTGAATGATAGAGTAAGATCGTATTGATATCTCAAAAAGGGGTGGAGATGTAACTTGATGCCCATGTACAACAGCGCCATACAGTGAGATCCAGAAACGTGTAGATGAATCTAAGAGTAGTCGCCTTGTGTTAAAAATATGTAGTGTTGGTTCTGTATCCAGCCCACCCTTGCCAAGGTTCTGGATAGATAGGACCATCATTGTGCAATGGATCTTATTCACATACAAGGAACTGGCAGTTAGAAAAAGAAAACTCAAAGGGTGACTTCCTTGAATTCCTTATGGATTGCCATCCAAGGGCATGATCAATGCCTATGAGCTTCCTAAACTCTATGTTTGAGGTGCTCGCCTTTCAATTTTCAAAATATTTCTGGAATTATGCTCACCTTGGATCATCCATAAACAGTTACTGTTCCGTGTGACCTTTTTTCTCTTATTTAACCTTCTAATGTGTCAGCTTTGCAAAACTAACTTCATTGTTTTTGAAAATAACCACTTGGCATGAAACGTACTCATAAAATGGGCTCATAGGATATTTCTGAACTTGCAATGAAGGAATAACTTTTTAAGCTGTTTCTTGGCATAATACAGAAGAAAACCATTCTAAGAATTTCCTACTTGTATAACAAGAAAAAATAAGAAGGAAGAAGAGAGAATGAGCTGTTCAAGAGAAAGAAGAAGTTGGAAGAAGAGAGGAAGAGAAGAGAAGAGAAATCGTCCCTCTCTCACTCCCTTAGCTCCTTTATATATGTGCTGGATTAAATTAAAGAAGAGATTACATGGGCGCCGCTGGTTTGGTGGCTGGCCCAATAAAAATAAGAACTGCATGTGTTAAGGGCCCATAAAGACAACCCATTACAGTAGAAATAAAACAATAAACAACTGAACTAAAGCAAGGCCAATTACAGTCCTTTTTTGTATAGAGGATGACCTTGACCATCTACATGGTCCTTTGGTTTATGGAAACTCCATGCCAACACAGCATTGATTGGAAGAAGGCCTAAAAGAATTCCTCCAGTATTTATTTTTTTCTTTTTTTATGTGCTATTTCTACTTCTATTGTCACATATACTATTTTAAGTGTGGAATTAATAGTATAAAGGCATCTGTTATACTATTTTAGAAGTTAGAGTCTTAGAGATAAACATAAACAAATAAAAACTAAAATAGAACCTTGTAATTGGATTAGTTGTTAATCAACTTAGTTGATGCTTGGCTGTCCCAACCAATCATATAATGGGTATTGACCTACTAGACAAAAATACAGCCCCAAGTGGTTAGTTGGTTGACTAGTTAATACTTTGATATCATGGTGGTATATCAGCAGTTCAGCACCATGTGATGGATGTGCATTGGCATCTTAGGAAACTGCATTGATCAATTTTGTTTTATCAATACTTTTTTTATTAGCAATATAGAAAAATTTCATTAATTATGAGAGACATGATTACAACAAGAAGTTGTGAAAGGGACCAGCTATAGAAGCTGTTCCAAATTAGTACTACATTTGAGCCCAAAACATATGTGTTCTATGTACCCTTGCTTGGCTAAGCTATCTTCCAAGCTATAGCAGTCCTCCTCACCCATTTCACTCAGATTAACATGTCCTGTGACAACCATTTGAATTTTCTGAATTCATTCCTCAAATGCCATGCTACCCCTTCCCCTTTAACCAGCCACTTAACCACCGTTTTAGAATCTTCCTCAATAATCAGCCTACTAATACCTGGTTCTTTTGCCTTCTCAACCCCAAAAACTGCAGCCAAAAACTCTGATCTTGCCACATCACCCTGCTCCACAGGGCTGGAGTATAAAGCAATTATGTTCCCCTCTTCATCCCTAATGACTCCCCCAATACATGGGGAGCCTGGGTTACCCAAACAGCTCCCGTCAAAATTCAGTTTCTTCCAACCATTTATTGGAGGAGACCACACCTCAATAGATCTTTGTTTTGTAGTTGAGGATGCAGCAATGATACCCCAAGCTCTGAAGAAATGTTCAATCTTGAAATCTGAAAACAGCTTCAAACTTTTTGCCTAATGAGCTACTCTCAATGTTATAATTTCAACCAAGGCTTCCTTACTTCGTTCCTTCTCTTAAAAAATTCTTGTGTTTCTTTCCTCCTACACAGTCCAAATTAGTGCTGCTCTAGTGCATCTCCACAAGGTCCTACCTCTCCTTTTTGTACAGCTAATGCTATTAGGGCTAAACAAACCCTCTAACCTACTAGGAGAAGACCAACTGCATCCAAAGAGAGAAGTAAACCAATCCCAAAGAAAGCTAATAAATGGGCAAGAGATAAGAAGATGAAATGCAGTTTCACCATTCTACTTGCAAAGAACACACTAGTTGGGGGAAAAACACCAATTTGGTCTCTTCCTTTGAAGTAGATCAAAGGTATTAATGCTTCCATGAAACACTTCCCAACGGAAGGTGCTAATTTTAGGGGGGAATGGGAGAACACCAGGTTTCCTTGACTAGGAAAGAGAAAGAATAAGACGAAGAGGTGGCAACCAGAGAATGAAAGAAGGACTTGCAAGAGAACTTCCCATCAGAATTAGGACCCCATACTCTAGAATCCGAGCCGCCTTCACACGAGAAAACTGAATTCCGCAAGCTCAAAAGATCAGTCATCATTGAAAGTTCAGATTCTTTAAGGTTTCTAAAGAAGCCAAAATTCCAATTCAATCCTACAGAGAAGTGATGCTGAGTAAGGAAGTCAGAAATGGGTTTACCCTTAAACCTGGAAATATCAAAAGAAGGGAATTTAATATCCAAAGGGGTATCCCCAATCCACACATTCTCCCAAAACCTGATTTTTTTACCAGAGGCCAAGTCATGCCTGATACGATGTAAGAAGGTAGGAAGGAAATCATGGATGGCCTTCCACGGGGCAGACAAGGTAGCTCTACGAAGACATCCAGCATCCTACCCATTGCTTGATATTACCATGAATACTTGCCACAACCTTGTGCCATAAGCCATAACTTCTCATTTTCATCAGGAAACCTCCATAACCATTTCCTGAGTAAAGCCTGATTCTTCATCTTAACATTACCAATTTCCAACCCACCTTTTGTTTTCAATTTCACCACTTTTTCCCATTTGACCAAGTGGTCCTTCTTTTTTCCCCCCAACTCCTAGAGAAAATCCCTCATGAGTTTTTCGATTTTCCTCACTACCTCCTGTGGCATCCTAAACACTGACATGTAACATTGGAAGGTTTGCTAGGGTAGACTTAATAAGGGTTAAGGTTAACGTCCCCCCCCATTGAAATGTAGTTCCTCTTCCACCCAGCTAATTTCTTCTCAACCCTTTCCACCACTGGGGCCTAAAAACTAGCTGATCTAGGGTTATCTCCTAGAGGTAAGCATAAGTATTTCATAGGCCACTCACCTTCTCACAACCCAAGGATTCTGCCAAGCTCCTCAAAAGTTCCTCATCGATATTGGTTCCAACCATTAAGCTCTTTGACCAATTAATCCTTAAGTTAGACATTCTCTCAAAAAGTTTCACCACTTATCAATACTCATGTGTTGGAGAAAAATATTGGCATGCTACCATCATTGTATGACTTACATGTGGATCCAGTCCTGGTTTTTATACCTAATTTTTATGAATGAAATTTCAAATACTAGTAGTTTTTCTGTGTCATATTGGGGGGAGATTATAACACCAGTGTTCAAATATTCAGGCTTGTTTTTATATACTCTGTTTATAAAGTGTTAAATGGAAAAAAAGAGCTGTTGGGATTTTTTGATTTGTGGATCATCATCATCATCCAAGCCCTATCCATATGGGGCCAGTTACATGAATCCTGTTTCATGATTCCATTCTATTTAATGCCATATCCATTATTAAATTATTGGCACTTAAATCATTTCTTACTTCTTCTACCCATGCCCTTTTTGATCTACCCTTAGCCCTTCTAGTCCCTTTAACTTGCAATAGATCACTTATTCTTATGGGTCCTATTGATGGTCTTCTATGCATGTGACTAGACCATCCTAGTCTACTTTTTCTCATTTTATCACCTATTGGAGCTACTCCTAGGGTCCTATAAATGACTTCATTTCTGATCCTACCCTTTCTAGTTTTTCATCTCATCCATCTTAGCATACACATTTCCATCACACTCATTTTTTGGACATTTTGTTTCTTGACTGCCCAACTCTCTGCTCCATATAGCATAGATGGCCCTAGTGCCTTACAACTATTTTATAGAATTTTCCTTTTAATTTAACTATTTAAGTGGTGTTCACTTATCACTTAAAACTCCGAGTGCACCCCTATGTTTTGCTCATCATGCTCTAATTCTTTGGGGAACATCCTCCTCAATCTGTCCCTAATTCTTTGGGGAACATCCTTCGTTTTGCTCACCATGGGTCTCCTCCTGAATATGTTTAGTCAATTCATCTATAATCAGTGTGGGTAAATGATGGCTAAGTGTTTCTTGATGAAGACTCATCATAACTGTAGAATCTGATTTGTGGATATGGGATTCTTTATTGGCTAAGTATTGATTTAGAGACCCCATAAGTTGCCAACCTTCCTATGTTTTGAGCATTGAAACCCACTGCCAGATGGGTCCTACTTAAACAACTTCTAGCCCAAAGAACAGCTTGTAAAAGGTTATGACCCTCTGGTGTTAATGTATTTTAAATGGATGTTGGAGAAAGGTTTCTCTTAAAGTTGAAATGTAGTTCTACAAATAACTCCCATATGGTTAAAAGTCACTTGAGTAAATTGATTTTTGGTAAGTCATGGTTTTAGTTGGAACCCACTCAATTGTTTATCCTGATTCTTAGACTTATGGGCATTCTAGAACCAAGATACTTTTTTATTTAGAAGGCCTTTTATTTATTATTTATTTATTTATTTATTTATTTATCTAATAGAAGCTTCAACAGACAATCTTGTCAATTTTATTCTCTTTATGGAGTCCGATTAGGATGTATATAATCTAGGGATCTGTGAGTCTTGGCCATGATTCTCCTGATGCTACTTTAAATTAATGCTTTGAGTTTTTCGATTGATTTTTAATATTACAATTTTGCAGTGTAGTCATCTTTTTTCTTGATTATGTTGTAGGATTCCTTTGAGATTTCTAGAGGTCAAGCTTCAAGGAATGCAGATGTTGAAATGGGCACATTACCTCCAGCAAATTCAGCAGACCTGGGTTTAGATAGTTTCTTTAAACAGGTAGCTGTGGCTTATCCCAATTATCAGTTCTTGCTTGTGTTCAACAAGAAGAATGCTAGATTTCACTGTATTCTTTCTCAGAGATGTTTTTGGAAATGAGATTTTGATATATGTTAATCTTTATTGCATCTCTGTATCCCATTTTCAAATGATTTCCTGGACCCTGTTTTTGTGTTAGGTTCAAGATATTGAAAAACAAATTGATAAGCTTAACAAGCTACTGAAAAAGCTCCAGGTATGGATTTAATTTTTATTTCATTTTTCTGCTCTGGTGAAGGTTATGCTAACCTTTTGTTCAGAGGTGTTAATCAATTTGTGATTTGGTTTACTTTCGTGTCTTCTGTTTGTCTACTACTACTTTAGTTATTTAATTGGAAATGAAGGAAAATTTTTAATTGTCAGTCAGCAGAAAGTTTTTTCCCCTTTTCCTTTTTAACCTTAAATCAAGTGATGGCAATCTTTTTGTGAATTTATCCTTAAATGCTGTCCTGCCTACCTATGTTTCTCATAAATGGGAAGGACATGGCTAGACAAGCTATTGGGTACATAATTTAGACTAATCCCAGGATATCCCCCAACTTAGGAATGCAAACGGATCGGATTGGATCTGATAGGACTCGATCTGAATTCGAGTCCTATCGGATCTTTGGATTGATTTGATCCGATATGTTTTCTTTAAAAATTAATAAATTATTAAAAGGAAAAAATAAAATATACCAATTTAAATAAAGAAAAAACAAAAATACAAGTATTTTTATCATATATATGCATATTTTTTATAAAAAAATAAATAATATAACAAATTTATAAAAATACAATATAAATTATATATTTATAAATAAAAAAATAACATATATATATGTATTATATATTTATATTTATAAATATATAAGACATTGAATCGGGGGGGGGGGGTGATCCAAATTCGACCAAATAGGATCGGACCATGTACTGATCCATTTTGCACCCCTACCCCAACTCATCCCCAAGATCCTCCCTAGCAACTTGACTAAATTCTGGTGATATCAGAACCCAGACTGCAACAGATTTACTAACAGCTGCCACTATTTTGTCCAAACTCCTAGTCTTAAAAAAATTCTTCTATTTCTTTCCATCCATATGTTCCAACATATTGCAAATGGGATACAGCTCCAGATCATCCTCGCTTTCTTGTTTCCTCTTATCTTTGGCCATGTAGAAAAAATTTCTACAGATAATCTTGGATGAAGTTTGTTACCCCGAACATCTGTAGAAAAAATTTTTATAGATGAGCTATGCCTGGGACTGGTTACCCAAGGCTTTTTGAGAATATGCGATATGAGAAATATCAACATGTTGCAAGATATGCAATGAACATGTTGTACGATATGTGCCACCACACATATTCAGACATAAGTAGGGGAAAAAACAGTCCATATGCATACCTATCAATCAACACTGCAACATAGATGAAATCCAGTCCAAAGGAGAGAGAACACACTATACTATCAGCCGACCATAGAGTTCTATTTGCACCTGTTCACAACCAGCCCTCTTCGAGTCATCGAGTAGAGGGTTTCTAGTAAACCACCACAGCAACTGGAGGCATAGTTACCTCCAAGAAGGAAAAACAACCATCTTTTTTTGGTCTCTTGTTGAACCTCTGACTAGTTTGTGAGTTATTTAAAAAAAGGGTTTTGATATGGAGATCCAAGGAAAGGAAAAAAATGAGTTCAAGACTGTTTTTCTAGTGCTCTGATACCATGTGAACGATTCGATTAACACTAGTTCAGTTCTAGGTCTGAGGTAAGAGAGAAAGAAAGAAGAAAGGAGAGAAAGAAAGGGTTTGGCCAGAGAAGAGGAAAAGTCTCACTCTCTCAGCCGATCCACCTTGTATTAGAACACCGAAAGACAAATCTGTGCCTCATTTAGTGTGGGACACACAACTTAAACTCAGACAAAATAGACAACTCATCTTTAATTAAATAGACAAATGACCAAACTACCCTTGTACTGTTGATTCTAACAACCGAGAAGTTGGCAGCATGGAAAAGAAATTATATTTCAATGGGAGGAAGAATCACATTGATCAAGCCACCATGTCAAACCTTCTAGTTTATTTTCTCTCCAACTTTGGCATCCCTGTTAAAATTGTAGGGCAGGTAGAAAGATTATGAAGGAGTTCTTGTGGGAACTGGGGGAAAAGAAGAGAGACCACTTGGTGAAATGGGAACATGTTAGCAGGCCTAAAGAGATGAGGGGATTAGGGTTAGGGAACCTGGTTTAGAAGAATCTAGTTCTTTTAGGAAAATGGTTGTGGATATTCCCTTTAGAAAGTGAAGGGCTCTAGCATCTTTTAGGAAAATGGTTGTGGATATTCCCTTTAGAAAGTGAAGGGCTCTAGCATAGGATTATTAGAAGCATACATGGGCAGTCAGACAATGGCTGGGATGCAAAAGTAGCCTCCAATGTAACCTCAGTCTCTCCTTTGAAAGCAATTCATGAGGTATATCCTTCTTTCCTAAACCTTATTCGCTATGATGTGGGGAATGGACTAAAAGTATTGTTTTGGGAAGATCTCTTGTTGGGTGATATTCCATTACAACTCTAGTTTCCTTTACTCTTTGCACTCTCCAACTATAAATTGGGATAAAAAAATCTGAACCCATTTCAAAGTTTGTGGTCTTCTCTGACTTGAGCTTAAATTGGGATTTTGGGTTTAGAAAAGGTCTTAGGGATTTGGAATGTGAAACTTTCATCTTTCTTTTGGCTAGGCTAGAATGAGTTTTTCTATACCAATCTGTAGAGGACACCGTGGTGTGGTCTATTTGTCTCCTTGGATGTTCATTTCACTTGTGCTTCTTTATTTCAATCCTGGTGAAAGAAATTTGGAGCAAGCCTATTCCCCCTAAAGTTCAGGCCCTTCGTTGTGAGGTTTTTTCTTGAAAAGATTAATACTTTTGATGTGCTGAAGGCCAAATAAAAGTCTTTCCCCTCGTGTGTTTCCTCTGCAAGGACAGTGGTGAAATTGTTTCCCATATTTTTGTACCCTGTCCCTTTGTGCTTTGTATTTGGAAGTATCTTTGTTCTCTATTTGGGTGCAGGTGGACTCCCCAGGATATTGTGGGCCTTTTTGATCCTAATTTCCTAAGGCAACCAAAGAAAAGAGGAAGACTACTTTGGAAAGCAGTGAGGACTGCTGCTGTTTGGACCATTTGGGAAGAAAGTAATGGAAGATTTTTCAATGATAAAAAAGCAGATCCTAGGAGGAAATTATTGATTTAATTAAAATAAAAGGCTGCACATTGGGTGAAAACTATGGAGGCTTTCCAAATTTTCTCTTTGAACGATATTTTGACCACATGGAAAGAGGTGGCACTCCCAGATCTGACAAGGTGAGGCAATTCTTGGCATGGAATCCCCTGGCTCCTAACTTCCTAAAGCTCAACTTTGATGGAAGTTACATAGGCAATATGGGTTTGGCTGGGGTAGGGAGTGTCTTTAGGAATTCAGAAGGAAGAGTGGTGGCTTTGTACTCATGACCACTGGAGCATAGTGATGCACTGACAGCAGAAATGGTTAGCTTATTGCAGGGCTTAAAATTTGCTAAACAGATTGGTTTCCACAATCTAGAAGTGGAAGGGGATTCTCTGGTGGTCATCTCTTGGACAGGAGGCAATACCCAAATCCCTTGGGGTTTTTTGGCACAAATTTAGGGAGATTGAGAACTTAATAAGGGGGCTAAATGTTTCCTTTAAATGGGTGAGAACAGAAAATAAGGTGACAAACACTCTAGCCAAACAAGGGGCCTTAAGACAACAGTTGTTCTGGGCCAATCTGTGAATTCTTGTTCTTTTGGGGTGGATTTTACACCCATCTGCTTGTAATCTTGAAGTTGCATTAATGAAATTACTTTCTACTGATAAAAAAAAGTCAGAATGCCAATGGAACAAACACTAGAAAGGAGAGGAATTACCAAGTACAGAGGCAGGAAGAAGATTTACAAGATACACCATAGTGCTTGCAGCTTCCACCTAAAATGTAGGTGAATAGGAATTTTATAGAAATATTCTTACCAGCTCAAGATGTCTATTTTTATGCTTAGCTTCTGTTATGGTGTACATGTACTGGGACAAGATCTCTAAGATTCTATTTTTTGATGTTTCAAATATGTCTAAAATTCACCAATTCCCCATCCAAGTATTCTCCCTTTGAGTTGAAATGAAGTATTCTAATTGTGGCTTTAAATGATTTGCAACCAAAGCTTGAAAACTTTTAGAAGTGGGAAACACCTATGACTTTGACACTTGCTTTCCTTCCTTTGGTGATATCTTATCTCCTCCCTGATGTATCTCTTTTTTTAATAAAATTTTATCTTTATTCTTCGAAAAAAATTATTCTTATTTTCATTTCTCCTTGGATGCTAGAGCTGTACATGGGTTGGTTTGGTACGGCCCCACTTGTACCAAATGAGTCGAGACTATTGGTTTTGTCTATTTGGCCAACTAAAACCACTGACATGCATATAAAACTGTTAAACCAATTTTGCATGCAATTGGTTGCTTTAATTGGCTTACCAAACTAAAAGCCTAAAAAAGAAAGGCTAAGGCTGCTGTACGTATCACTGTAATACTGTATGTGTCGGTATGTGCCGGTGCTTATATGCCAGTTTAAGTCCACTCTGTCAGTTTCCTAACTTCAAAGCCAAAACCCTATCTCTCTGCACCTGACATCGATGGTTTCACCGATCTGCTCAACAGTCTCACCGGTGTTCTCAACATCAAATCCTTTGCTTTGGTAGCCTTGTAATCAAGTATGTTACTGGATCATGTTTTAATGTTCTGCAAATGATGTATGCAGGATGCAAATGAAGAGTCGAAATCTGTAACCAAGGCTGCTGCCATGAAAGGTAATATTTTTCCTTTTGTATATTCTGTTATTTTTCATGCATGCATTCACACACATATCCATATATAGGTACATGCATAGAGCATAGGATAAGATCCCTTGTTCATGTAGAATGTAGAATTATTTATTTATTTTTTTGAGAAAGGTAAAGTATCAATATTGTATTGATTTACCATAAAGATCAAAAGTAAATCAGCCCTTGTACAATGAGAACCTTTACAATAGGAATAAACAAAACCAAGAAAAGTTGACTATAAAATGGTCCAGCTTGCAAAAATAGAGATGAGCTCACCCTGAAATATTTGTACACCCAGCCAAGAACAAAGCAAACCTTCAAGAAAATTTCTGACTTCCTCTAAGGCAGAATAGTTGTTTTTATTTTTCTGAGAAAAGGTAAAGTATAATTGTATTAATCAAAAGGTTTTTTGTACAATGAGATATTGTTCAAAGGAAAACCAGAAGGACCTGAAAAAAAGCCATTCTCAAACAAGTACAATCAGATGTATCTTCTTTAAAACCTGTATGAATAGACAGCCAACTTCTAACAAACTCCATAGCCACGTTGATGACCTCTGCTTCAGAGGAGGCTCTCTGATAAAAAAATCCTACTGTTCCATTCAGTCTACACAGCCCACAGAATTGCCAAAGGAATAGAGGACCAGTAGACTTTCCTTTTCTTTGTCATCCCTGGTATATGCCATGCCACCAAGTATGCTTTAACTGAGTCAGACATGCTCCAACTTACCTTTAGGATCTTTAGAAAGTAGTTCCAAATCTCTGTTACAAACTTGCAGTGTAAAAGCAGATGATTAACTGTTACCGTCTCCACACTACACAGACTGCATCTCAGTTCATTGCAAATAAAGCCTCTCTTCAGCAACATTTCTTTGGTAAGGCTCTTCTCTAAAGCTGCCACCCATACAAAAAATTTTACTTTTGAGGGTGCCTCTGCCCCCAAATGGCCCTGCTAGGAAAAGGAGATTCATTTTCTCCTACTATAAAGCTGTAGAAAGATTTGACTGAGAACTCTCCTGATCTGCTCCAGTTCCACACTCTTAAATCCTGAGTTTGTAAGTTCAAAGCTTGATCTTGGAGAAGAGCTAGGGGATTTCCCACTTGTTGAATCTCCCTATCATTTAAGTCCCTTCTGAATGAAGGAGTCCAGCTAATGATATCACTCCTCAGCACAAAAGAATCATATACCAGCACCTCTTTATCAACTGCCAAATTAAACAGTGTGGAAACAGCTCTTTGAGCGAACACTCCCTAATCCAAGGATCTAACCAAAATCTGATCCTTCTAGCATTTCCCATGTTAAACCTGATGCATCGTCTGAAAAGATTGGACATATTCCTTTCCACAGACTGCACCCATAAGTCAAAAGGGGAGAACCACTGGCCCCAACCATTATTATCCAGCCCATATTTCTCAGCTATTACCTTCCCCCATAGGTTATTTGGCTCGGCAGCAAACCTTCATTGCCAACTGCCTAATAAGGCTAGGTTGAAAGACTTTGAATTTCTTATCCCCAAGCTCCCTTGTGATTGGGGATTACAGATCTGAGCCCAGTTCACAAGATGATACGTGTGTCTTTTCATCCTACCCAAAGAAAATCTCTTATCTTTTTTTCTAAAACCTCCACTACCTCTGAGGGGATTGGAAAAAGAGCCATAAAATAGGTCGGCAGGCTTGCTAAAACACTTTTAATAAGAGTTACCTTCCTGCCTTTGGAGAGATACCTTGCTTTCCAGGTGGCCAATTTTTGACCCATCCTCTCTAAGATTGGGTTCCAGATAGCTTTGGATGTGCATTTGGCACCAAGTGGCATCCCCAAATAGTTAGTAGGAAGAAGACCTACCTTGCAGCCTAGAAGATCAGCCAAACTCTGAATGTTAGAGACTTCTCTCACAACTACCATTTCACTTTTTGCTAGGTTCACCTTTATCCCTGAAACAATCTTGAACCAGAAAAGGAGATGCTTTAGATTTTTTTTTTTTTTTTGAGAAAAGATGCTTTAGATTAAGAACTTGATTCTTGATGCTTTACAAAAAAAGCGGGTGTCATCTGCATATTGCAGAATAGGAATAGATGCACCATTTGGGCTCACTTCAAAACCCTCCAACTGCTCCAGCTCCACAGCCTTATCCACCAATTTACTAAGACCTTCATGACTACTAAAAAGATGAGAGGAGATAAGGAATCCCCCTACCTTAAACCTCTCGAACTTTTGAAGTTGCTTCTAGCTACACCATTAACAAGCACAGAGATTCTTGGAGTGGAAATGCACACTTTCATTCAGCTTCTCCATTTTGAGCCAAAGTGCATTCTTTCCAACAAATAATCCAGAAAAGACCAATTAACATGGTTGTAAGCCTTCTCCAGGTTTATTTTACAGACCAATCCATTCCTCCCACTTATCTTTCTTGAATCAATTAGCTCATTAGCTATGAGCACCACATCATGAATATGTTTGTTGTGAATAAAGCTCCTTGGTACATGGGGACCAGGGAATCTATCACCTTACTTAATCAGTTAATCGAGTGGCCAGATTATTGGTCCATGTATACTTTGCTCCAGAAAGCAGCAAGTTAATCAGTAAGTCCCACCTCTGAATAAAACCTGCAAAGGTTTTCATGCTTCTGTTAGCTCTGGAACAACCTTTTTTTTGTCTGCAGGATTGACAATGGCATTGAAATTGCCCCCTAACACCCAAGGTCCTTCCGACCTTCCTCTAACAAAATCTAACTCCTTCCAGAAATCCTCCTTTAAACTGGACTCAACTGGCCTATATACCCATATCACCATAAACTGCAAGTTATTTGCTTCCCACAGAAACTTTGCTGAAATGGAAAAAGCTCTCACATGTTTATCTAGCAACTTGAAGGAGCTTCTGTTCCAAATAAGTGCTACTCCTCCTGCAGTGTTCAAAGCTGGAAGTTCAATCCAATCACATGGATCGAAACCCCAAATGCTTCTGAAGGATAATTTTTGCAATTTTGTCTCCTGTAGTAACAGAAATCCGGCTTCTTATCCCTTAAGAAACCCCCGATTACATTCTTCTTCTGCCTGAACCTAGGCCTCGGATATTCCAAGAGATTAGTTTTAAGTTTACCATTACTAAAATTTTGAAGAGTTGTTACTAATTCTTGCACTTCCCACACTGTCATTCAAACCCCATGCAAGCCTCAATAACTTCTTGGACTGCCTTCTATTTTTCTTCCCCTTTTTCTGCCAAAATTCTATTTTTGATGGCCACCAAGAGTGCTTTTGTTTCCTCTTCAAGGCCCTTGAAAGACACCCCCAAAAATTCCCCAAATCCAAGAAATTTAGATATAACCCAATTAGAAACTTATTTTCTGCTACGTACCTTAAATTCACCTGTTGAGGCCGATTCTGTTGGACCCCGTTGGCTGGGAGGATTACCGTTAATGGTTCTGGCACCTGCTGCATCTGGGCTTCTGCTAGAGAAGGAAAGGCTTCTAAACCGCTGATGTCTTCTGATACAACAATAGATAACGCCAAGGCCTCCTACTTCTCTGAGATGGGGGAAGATAACACTGCTGACCCTTCTACAAGCCTTCTCTTCTCCGAGATAACTGTCCTTGGAACTTCTTCTGTGGCTGCCAATTTTGCCGCCTCTTCTTCCTTTGAACCCCTCGTATCTGACTGGTAACAGGTGTGTTTGCTCACCTTCTTTGATTGCTTCTTTTGGAAGACCTGAGCAGGGTGTTTCTTTCTCAGAATAAAGCTCCTTTTTCTTTTCACTCTTGTGCCTCCCATCTTCACTCCAGAGGTCAGTGAAGCTTGAGCCTTCTTCAAACTCTGAGCCCTTGAAATCTGACAAAGACAACGAAGAGATTTCCAACTGGGCTTTACCTTTTCCTTTTCCCTCCCCACATCAAGGCCTGGTCCCAGCCCCCAAGTTCTTTTCTGGGCTTTTGATTTGCAATTGGCTGGGGTCATGATGGGCTAAGAAAAGGTCCATCCTCTTTTTTTTTTTTGTGACTATTAAAGCTTTCGGGGTCCACTAATGTTTAAGCTACTTTGGATTTGAGGCAGTCCTCAACCGCCTCAGCTAACTTGTCGATGAGGGCCACGTTGACCACATCGGGAAGTGTAGAATTTGAATTTTGAAACTGTGCTGACCTCTGTCCCTCCTTCTCAGACGAAAACCCACCCTGGCCGTTAGATCCCCTTTAATTTCTATGGCTGAGATTATGTCTTCTTCCTTTCCTTCGTTCTACCACTGTCCAACGCCCCCCCCCCCCATCAGAAACTCTGGTGACCGAGGTAGAACCCAGCAGTTCTTCTGTTTGGGCCGATGATCCACCCTCCGTGTCACCCACTTTCTCTAGGTTTTCCATACCTGATCTTACTTCCTCTTCAGTAGGCTTCCCTTCTAGCACCTTTTGCACAAGGTCCACCCCTATTGGAACCACTGCCTTGAAATCCGCCAGGGAGTTTTCATTTTCTCTGTTTTAATTTCCAGGCAAATGGTAACAACAGACATTTCCTCTCCAACCACTAAATTTATGGACTAGGGAGGAATTCCGTTCCAGTGTACCTTGAGTCTGATACACTCAAAGAGTCTTTGTAAGCCTTTCCATTGTTTACTTCCTCAAAACCACCACAGTGGTCTTCTATTTTGTGGGCATCTCCATTGCTCCACAGATGTAACAGCAGACCAAAGACTCTTATCCATAACATATTGCCTAGGCTGCAAGGGTATACTCTGCTTTTTCTATAATGGATTCCACCTGATGTTTCCTGTTTTCAAATATTCTGCTGCTGCATTCTTCCACAAGCTCCAGCACACCACTGGAGGGACCAACTTCTGTAGAATAGTAACCAGCAGTTGGCCAAGGAGAAAAAACATATGCCACTTTTCTGCCTTCCATCTTATTTAATCCTAAACTTCTGGTCTTGGTGAAATTCTGGCTAATTGATCCATCAGAAGCAATAACCTTTCAGCCTCCCAGTCCTGGAAATTTCTTCAAAACC